TTTTTTTTTTTTCCTCTCCCTAGCGGGGATCGATTGATCGCGCTTGCAACATGCAGCATGCACCCAGCACCGATTCCGACACAATAGTCTGGAGTCACTCACTGATCACTCGTGACTGCTCCGCTTGAAGACGGCATTTCCTATCCAAAGCGTTGTCTTACCTTTGGGCCTGGCAGAAGCGATCCTCTCTCGAACCGCCAGCCCAAGTTTGGCTTAGATTGACGAAGCTAATGCAAGCATTCCGGCTGCTAAGAGCCTCGCGACCGGTGCACAGCTCCCAAGCCACTATCGGCCTCGGCCGTCGAGCCTCTCAAGCCTTTTCTTCACGAAGCTCGTGCAAGATGTCTTCACTCACACCCGTCAGACTCGATGTCAAGCCGATGCCGAGCACCAGTGGAGCAAACTCCCAATCTGTCGAGGGCTCATCCGTAGCACAACCAAGCAGTTTGAACATCAACGCCTCTAGTGATCGCGACCCCCCGGAACGCAAGCGAAAGCCTTCACGCTCGCCCTCTCCTTCCGCCGCGAGAGACGCGATCAAGCTGAGCAAGGAGGCTGAAGCAGGTCCCTCTCGACCACTCCCCTCCAAACAAGCTCGTCCAGACGGCAAGCAATCAGCGCAAGACAGAAACAAAGCTAAGAAGCGTCAAAAAGCGTTGAGGAAACAATGGGCTGAGCAGGTCGCCAAGACTGGAGAGAAGCCGATTCATCATGATATTGTGGAGATGCTTGGAGCGGACGTTGTTGAGCGGCTTATCAAAGAAGGCAAAGAATTTGAGGAGAGAATGGAAAGGAAGGAGTATACGCTGACAATCGATAGGCTCAGCTCTTATGGTCAGTACGTAGCTCGAGCTTGGCGTCAAAGTGACTTCGACAGCCAATGGTCCTCCTGGCGTCCAGAGCAGCTGAACGATGTACCCGCTTCGACCGCCATGCGATTCAGGCGAGGGACTAGCAATATCACCGGATAGGGACTGGGTGATCGCAATTCCACATGCGTTGCCTGGGGAGCTTGTTCGAGCATACGTCTTTAGTAACGAGCGTGAGTCGCTCACAGCGCAGTCTGCATGTGATTTGTTCCGAGACTCATCCTGAGCAACCCATGTTCTCGTTGGGCAGGGCTGTATGCCAAGGCACGCCTTGTCGAAGTGGTCGAACGCGCACCTCTCCGGCAAGAAGCAGCTTGCCAGTACTTCAAGTCGTGCGCGGGTTGTCAATATCAGGTGCGTACAGCTAAGTGCAGACAGTGATTCATTACGGCATCCATCCTCTCACACGAGGGTTTGTGATATCACGTAGCATCTTGGCTACGACGAGCAGCTTCGCATCAAGCGAGATGTCATTATCAAGGCCTACAAGCATTTCTCCAGTGAGTGAGCGGTGAAGATGTCCCTAGAAAGCTTCTCCACGCACTGATGCTCCTGCATCATCAACAGATCTACCGCCGGATCTCATCCCCGACATAGCACCTACTCTACCCTCACCAGAACAGTTTGGCTACCGAACGAAACTCACGCCGCACTTTGAGCTGCCTTTTCAAATCCGAGCATTTCATCGGAGCAAGGGCAAGAAATCATTGCCCGCCGTCCAGCCAGAGCTGCAGATCGGCTTTGACCGCATTGACGGGCCAGGTGTTCTGGACATCGAAGAGTGTCCGCTAGCGACTCGCGTCATCAACGAAGCTCTGCCTGACGCTCGCCAAAGTGTCAAATCGTGAGTGCTTTGGAGGAATCGCCGATGCGTCCCCGATGCTGAACATGCGACTGTCACAGGAACATCTCGAGCTTCAAGAATGGAGCGACTCTTCTGCTTCGCGACTCTTTGCGCTCCCATGACCCTGAAGATGTGGCCTGCGAAGTCGTCAGAGACCACAACGCAAGTGTACGCGAGCGTGTGGATAGCATGAAGTTCGAGAATCCTGCAGGTGCGTGCCTCGTGCAGGTGCTATACAATGCAATCGAGAAGCCTCTGATGCAAGGTCTTGCCGCGCCGTTGCGTCACAGGCGCATTCTGGCAGAATAATCGCTCCATCCTTCCGTCGGTTATCGCGTACGTTAGACAAGCGATTGTGGACCACCCTCCAGCGCCTTCGTCGGACGACTCGAAAAGATACCTTGTCGACACGTACTGCGGGTCCGGCTTTTTTGCGCTGTGCTTGGCGGATCTTTTCGAAAAGGTATCGGGCGTGGAGCTTTCAAAGGATAGCATCAAGTATGCAAAAACGAACGTGCAGCTGAATGGAATCAAGAACGCCGACTTTTTGGCCGGCAGCGCTGAAAACATCTTCTCTGTGAGTCGTGCACATCATTACACATGGGCGAGGCAGACTTCCGCTGAGGACCACGCGTCTTTGCTGCTTATTCTCGCAGCAAATCAGCTTCCCATCCCATATGACGACCGTGGTGATAGACCCACCCAGACGAGGCTGCGATGTGCCCTTCCTGGAGCAGCTGCGCAAGCTCAGCCCTCACCTCATCGTCTACGTATCTTGCAACGTCCACACTCAAGCTAGAGACATCGGATGGCTGCTCGAGGCGGATCCTGACTACAAGATTGTCTCGATACGAGGGGCCGACTTCTTCCCACAAAGTCATCACGTCGAGAGCATTGCGGTGCTTCACAAGCCGAACAAGCCGGCAGGCCCGCCATTGTAGCGCCCCGAGTCAGGCCATCGACCCGGCATGCGCGCTCAATGTTCGTCTTTTCCAAGGAAAGTGTAGATCGCTAAATCCGGCGGAACCCACGGGCACGCGCTGCTCAGCCTTTTCATCGGGCAGTCTCTATTGCATACAAGGATTGCAGGCGCTCATTCCAGGCACGGCCGCGTCTTACAGACAATGGCTCCCATCAGCACCATTCATAGCCGCGCAAAGTCTGGAACGGCGAAGTACCCCCAACGGCTTAGAGAACTGGGTAGTACTTCTCAATGTCTTCTAGCAGTCCGATCTGAGTGGGCTTCCAGCCATAAGTATCGCCGGAGTATTGCGACGAGATTGGGTTGTCCTTGGCGACAAAGTACTGGAACATGCTGTAGTGCGCTCCGAAAGCATCGCCCTCGAGCGAGACCACTGGGAGATTGTTCTTCTTGCCGATAGCGCCAGCAATGTCCTTGAAAGCAACACTTTGCTCTCCAACGGCATGAGCGCGCTTGGCGGGATGAGGCGCAAAGGTGGTTTGTCCGGATTCCACCTGGGCGTACTCCACCTCCACGATGCGCCTGTAAAGAGCTGCGGCGTCTTTGACGTGCACGGCGTTCCAGCGGTTCTGGCCCTCGCCGGCATAAGCTGCCTGGCCTTTCTCCTTGCACATCTTCGTGATGATGTGGATAAAACCTTGCTTATCTTCTTGTCCGCTGTGCACACTGGGCGAAAGACGGACCGTGATAGTGTTCACACCGTGTCGCTCAGCCAAAGCGTCGGAGAGCTCCTCTGAATGCTTCCTGGGCGTAGGGGAATTAGCTTCGAAAGCATCGCTCTCTTTGCCCGCCTGGAGTCTGCCATCGCTACCGGCTGTGGGCGTGATGAGCATCGTTCCAGAGGTGACGACGAAAGGTTTGCTAGACTTGAGCTCTGCAAGTCGATGACCGATCGCTTCGATGACTTTTCTGTCCATCTCGCAACTAGCCACAAATTTGCTCCAATTGTGATCAAATGCCGTATGTATGATGGCATCGACGGAAGGATCGGCTGCTGCGCTCTTGAGCGCTTCTAGATTCGTCAAGTCTCCTGGGTGGATGGAACAGCCGGAGGCTTTCAATTTGGCGTGAGATGTTTCGTTGCGGGAAAGAGCTAGCACGCTGTGCCCGGCCCCAAGTAGCTCTGGGACTATGTGACGACCTACAAGGCCGGTGCCTCCAGTCAGAAAGACGCGCATGCTTGGGATGGATGGAGAGCAGGAACGTTTGGGCTGTGCAACGATGCGAGGTGAGATGCGGGATAGTGCAGTGTAGTGCAGTGTGATGGGGGCAAAGGGAATTGTCGAATGTGGAAGCTCAGTCTGGTGTTCTTATAGCCTTAACCTGAGCGCTGAGCATGACGGCTAAGTCTCGCTCAAGGTGCTGTGCTTCTCGAGACTCACAAGCCTTGCTAGCAAGCAGGCATTCCTGGTGACCATTGCACAAAACACAGATGCTGACCGGCGGCACACCTTCACGAATGCCATCCTGCGAATGCGAGAATGAGCTCACCTCGATGGAAAGCGGCACGACAAAAGACGCAGATCAGCAGGCCAAAAAGCCCCACCGAAACGCCACCCGGTTCTACCGTGTAAGCTGCCATGCTGTACCACCTGGGTTGGGGATCGAAGGGGTATCACCATCACAATCACAAGTTTGCCGTTCCTGGGCTCGTCTCTGTCTCACGAGCCAAGGACTCCTGCTGCATTCACGATCAATGCGCGTCGCTCGATAGGGAGTCGAACGTGAATCTGATGAAGGTGTCGCTATGCACAAGAGGCCTTGCGGGACGCGCGTGGCTCAGCTGATGTGAGCTTACAGGCTGAGTGGTGAGTTGGATGACTCAGGCTGTATACGCAGCTGCTGGTGGCGCAAGCGAGTCATCAGAGTCTGGCGCCGCCGGCCCTTTCTCCGCGCGCATCGATAAATAACGCGCTTGTATACGCAGCTGTCGGAGCATGAAAAGGTGTGGGCAAGCACGTGATCCCACTTTCGAGCTCACGCGCGCACGAGAGATCACATGATCCAGAAACCCGCGTGTGTCCCCGCAGGATTCAGCAGATTCATCAGATTCTTGATTGAAGCAACACACCTTCGTGGTATCCAAGATGATTCTTGATTGTGATTGCAGCTTTCTGACATCCATATATAGCAATAGCAGGAGTACCAGTCGCAATGCGAGGGCACAGATTCGACATTCACTCAGTCGAGTTCTGGAGCACATGATGCAAAGCCACCTTGGTTGCCCATGTTATTCGTGATTGAGGCGCAGTCGGAGAATCTCTTCACGGGCACACGCAGAGAAACTCGAAAATTGAAGCTGTGCACCAGTCGTCGGACTACAACTTGCTCAACGCAGAGCGCTACGCAGGCAGAGGGACTGAAGCTCACGAGCGACAGCGCCGAGCGAAAGGGCGTTGGGTTGATCTAGCGGACATCCGCCACGCTGTGCAATCCCAACTAATCTTTGTAGCGCATACACGCTACCTGCGATCGCGCTTCGTGTCATCTCAGCCAATCGAACCAAAATGGCGGCACACTTGCAGCTTCGATTCCTGGGCACTTCCAGCGCTGCCAGCCCTTCTCGTAATGTCTCCAGGTGAGCGATGAACGCGCACGAGGGCGGCTAGACGTCGACACGGGCGCACAACGTAGCTGAATCGTCTTCTCATCGATGTGTCCCGCTCAGCATGCTTGTTCGCATCGGTCAGCAGACGGTGATGATGTGAGCACCTCTTAGTGTGCCTCGATGCGCGCTCGCCACAATCAGCTCATGATGTTACCGCGATGAACGCCGACGGCTTTTTCAGAGACTGTGGAGACGGAACGCATCGACAATTGCTGGATCGTAGGTTGGGGAATCAAGACATCAAGCTCTCTTCTCTCCGACACATTCTAATTACCCACCTGCACGCGGATCGTGAGTCTGGCACTCTGGTCGAGCTCGCTCAACAGACGGAGTCTGACATTTGCGACTTGCAGACGTGCTCGGACTCGTCCCACTCATCATGGCTATCATGGGTCCGCCTGCGCCTGACCAAGGCGGTGGCGGCGTCACCGCTACCACGTCCGCAGAACCAGCTTCCCGAAACGTGAGTCCAAGGCGCTTCAGCGATCAAGAAACACGTGATGAGGTCGCTAACATCTTCAGGACCTCCTCAAAGCCTCGCCTAGAGATATACGGCCCGTGCGGCTTAAGATCATTGATTCGCACCACGCTCATGATGACTTACGCCAATCTTTCGCTGCCCTATGTCGTGCACGAGCTGCTTTGGCCTCATGAGTACGCCACAGCCCATGCGCCATCTGCAGACGCGCCATTGCCAAGCTTCAATGTCGAGCACAATGCGTCGGGACAGTTATCGGAACAGTTCATTGGAGCTGTTCAAGGACCTGCTCGATGTGTTCCTGTAGTCCCGCCAGGAGAGATGGAGTTGCCTGGTATGGACTTTCGACTTGACGAAGCAAGCGCGTGAGTCGCTTTGCAAGCAACTCTTCCGCTTGCCCGTATGCTGATTCATGATACCTTTGCAGGACTTGGCCCGACTTTCTTCAAATCGGAGGGCAAATGGTCAGCGCCGCACCCTTGCTGCATCGCTGTCCTTGCGTAGGCTACGTCTTCAGAGAACTACCAGTAGCTACGCCATTGGATCCCTCGATTCCAGCGCTCATCAATTCGCAGGCCGATGCCCTGTACAAGAAAAGGGGCATCCGTCATCCACTGTCCCTTTTGGGCAGGTTAGTCAAGTCTCGCGAGTCGGTAGAGCTCCCTGACGGCACTTTACTCCAGCCGCCTGAGCTTTACGACACCGGCAGGAAGGTGGTTATTCTGGGCGACACGTTTGATGCGACGGGGGGACTTGCGGACCGGACTGTGGAGAGCCCAGATGTGGATGAGGATGGGACCCGGTCTAAATGGCTGAGGGGTATGGTCGGGCTCGCGATGGACGCGTCGGTCTTGGTGCACGAATCCACCAATATCGCTTTGCCCGCATCCTTGACTAGCAGCAAATCCATCGACTCCCGCGAAGCGGTCCGAGCCAAGGCCATCTTGAGGGGTCATTCCACTCCTCAAGTAGCCGGAAGCTTTGCAGGCAAGATCCGCGCTAGACATCTCCTCATGAATCATTTCAGTGTCAGATTTCCCGCTCCAACGGACGCTAGACTCTTGGAAGGAGCGGACGACAGCGGGAGAAGCCAGGTGAATGTGGAAAGAACGGCAGTAATGCAAGAATTTGAGGACCAAGCGGTGAGTTTTGTCCTCTCGCTCAGGGCGCTGCTGCATCTCATGTTGGCTGGCTCTGATGCCTGCTCACCCCTCTCGTCAGACCGAAGCTTGGCTTCACGCCTTAGGCGAGCACGCAGGCGATGTCCAGCCGAGCAGAGCAATAGCAACATATGACGGCTGCGTATTTGACGTTCCACCACCATTGCAGGAGCAAATGGAGCAAGCAGGCCGCTCTAGCCCTCTGCCCTCCTCGGATCGTCATTCGAGCGCGTTCAACAAACACGGACGTGCACCTCGGGGTCCGCCTCGTCGACAGGAATCTTCAGCCACGCTGGCGAGTCAGCATCAAGATGCGCACGAGCAGCAAGACGGAAGGAGTAGCTCAATGAGCGTCGGCCATCCTTATGCGTCGGCTAGAAGGTCGACGAGAGGGCGCGGGAGGGGCCAAAATCATGACTCTAGAAGACACACGAGGGATGTCTTGGAAGGTCACGTGCGTGATCCCGATAACTAGCAATGGATGAATGGATGCGAAATTGTTGCAACGCTTGATCACCTTGGTTGCATTATCCGGCACCCATGTATCGCGAGCTCCGACGGAGGTCTTGATACCTTGCAGACGTTCTTGACGAGGTACGCGGAGGAACAGGGGGTTTGTAGAGAGCAGGCAAGCAAGTGCCGACCTTCAAGTCCGACTCCGTCAGATCGCAGACTCGGTGATAGGGTAAAAGCGATGTCCCTTTTGATAGGTCGGGCGGGGCTCATGAGAAGAGGACTTGGGAGTTTGCGGCAAGCTCGCTGCTCATACCAACGATCCTTCAGGGACAAATGGCTTTTGTGCCGCAATTGATCTGCCCGCTACGCAATATGTGTGGCTTTTGTGTCTCAATGCGCGATCGTTGCTTCGTCTGTATTGACGATCGACCGAAAGTTGAGTTGTGAATCGACTACGGTCTCTCCTTTGCCCTTTCAACCAGCCCTTGTGGAGGGCGGTGACCCCGTGCGTCGACTCAGATGTTACCGTCATTCAAGGTACACATCATTGGAGCCTTCCGGCCAAACCTCGGCCAGCTTTGGCGGGGTTTGAAGTGACTAATCGGTTCGTCGGAGTGCGGCGGATTTTTTTGTTGTTGTTGCCGTGCTCGATGCGCATGCTGGAGCTCTCAAGCTGACTTATTGAAGGTGTGCATGCACGCTCTGTAGCGAGATGCGAGTGGAACTGCTTCGTCTCCTT